CATAGGGCTTAACACATGAACGTATTTGATACGAAGACAGTATTACACTCAAAATCAGTTACAAGTGACACCTCGACGGTTAATATGTTAACAAGATCTGTTTTTTTCGTCAATGGAATAGAAAATAAGGACGTTTGCCATAGAGAAGCACTAGATGAACATGGAAACTTACAATTAAACCGTAACGCATTCTTTTAGAAAAAGCGCTCCTTGACTTTTCACCGGGAACATATAGGAGACTAGTTACTAAATAAAGGCGTTACAAAAGGCGAATCCTTGAAACATACATCGTAACATCTGCTGGAGAATCATGACTGATCATGTGTTCAACTGGCGTTGATGTTAACTGACACTGTGCAGCTTGTTAGTCCTTGAAGATGTTTAGTATAGAATCGATCTGAAAATAACTGCAGTAATTATTGCAGTTTTTTATAGTTTGATTTAAATTATGCGTTGATTGTTGCTGTTAGAATACACCGTTGCATATTCCATATGTTGGTTCCATTCTATCAGTTGCCAATTTTAGGTATATATATATTTCGATAGACTACACTTTTTTCCATCATTGACTCAAGCATAACCATTATAATTGCTTAATACATATGTAGTAGCACATAAATCCCCGAAACTAATATCTCTATTAAACTTCGACATTGATACTGACCTCATTGGTTTTGACGGTGAGGCCCTAGCTAATGGCACTCAGAAACGCTTTTGAACCTGATCATAATTGGGTGCGTCGTGTTACGTATCCTGTCATATCAACCAATCAATCTGAGTCACTTGTTTTTCGACGTCCAAACCACCCATCAGATACAACTCGAATTTTCTTAATTCCTGACTACTACTTTGACTGGGTTTTGTTTAATCCCCGTTCGAAGGGCACTGTCAAACTTCGAATATCTGTGGCATTTTTAGATTTCTTAGTGATATATCTCAGTACTCTCTTCTAGTGAACGAGAACATTTATCTTTTCTCTTGACTGGCAGCAATTTGATCTCACCATTTTATACGCTTCGTTTAATGAACGTTGGTCATTAATAACTGCCGTGCAATTTTCGTGTGCATAGCCTGGAGTTTGTGTTCATTTAAGAACCATGTTAAACCAAATAATTGAGCTCTAAATACATCCATGAGAAAAGATAAACATTTGCCTCAAAATCTGAGCACTTCAATATAGCAGTTACCATAGCACATTTTCTTTGGGCTGTCACAAAGCATTCAACACAACAACAACACTGTGTGCTCCAACAAGAAGTGGGGAACTCAAATCTTTTTTTGCTTGATAGGGTGTTCTGCACAAACAGGATGTGGCTGACAGTTGTTTGAATATTTTGCCGTGGATTCTCAATTATCTGCTTGCCCAAATCCATAGTCTGGCTTCTGGTTACATAGGTCCTAACAACTATAATGGATACGCACTTCATAACTTCTTAAACTTGTAATTTTTTGAAAATGACTAAGATATGGTTAAATTTGACTAGACTGGTTTTTAGTGAAGTTAAAAATACACTCTTAAAGAAGAACAAAAGGATAAGAACTTACTGATCTTGTGAAATATCGTGTTTAGGATAAGGCAGAGGTGGAAGGATGTGAGACCTTAAGGCTCCGTGTCTTGAGAGGTAGAATCAGTGGACAGAGATCTAATTCCTTTTTTATCGTGTCATAGAAACTGTAGAATCTATTTTGAATGTTTTGTTTTTGGAAAATCCCTCCATGTATATATATTTGTGTTATGATATGACTGACTGTTTCTGTCTGATATTTTGGCACTTTATTTGATTCCATTTTGGGATTTTATCATTTGTATCTTGTTATAATTTCTATATCTTGTACTTATATTGAAGTTTCTATGTTTCATTCTGAAATATGTGTGTTGTTTAAACTTGATACTTAATATGGCTACAGCCATAGTTGGATTTGATACTCTAGTAGTAACGGACTGGAAGCACTTATTCTTCCAGAAACGGAACCCATTGTGGTAATTGGAAGCTCGAAGGTGTAATATCGCTTTGGTAATTGTCTATATTTCCCTATTTAATATAAATAGATCCGTTTTCTCCCAGAATTATCGTGTTTTTGGTCCCTGACTGGGTGAACGCGTATGAGCCTACACTTTTCATGCCGGAGTGAACTGCAAGAGTAGAAAATCCATAACAGTAACAATATTTTTCTCAAATAAGAGTGTGTTACATTCGGTATTCTAGTTTACAGGCAGCATCAAAGTGATTCGAATGCTACCAAATTTACTGCGAAAAATGTTGTTCTGTCACATTAGGAAAAATGATATATTCTTGATATAGCGGGAACACACAATTTTTAGCAATGACCAATAAAATTTCCAACATGTGACAACAAAAAGATTGGCGATCCAGCAGATTTCTTAGATGGTGTTCATCATGCCGGTGTGGTTCACGAGATATTGTTCAGGCAGAATAACTTTTAGAGTACAGTACACAGCTGATAAGGTTTTGGAAAGAAACTTAGGAGAAAAAGGAAACAAAAGAGCAGCAAGGCAGAGCATTGTTCGACCGTGTATAGTGTTGCTGAAAAATTAATGGCAAGCTAGTAAATACGACCTATACAGGTTGCTTATTTTCAAATAAGTTTTAGAAAGATAGAATTCAGATTAGAGTGCAGCAATAAATAACAATAAGTTGTGGGGTGTACCAAGATGGATAGAGTTCAAAAATTGGGAGTTGAAGCGAGAAGATGGGAATCTGTTCATTTAAGTCAAAGCATCAGAATAAAAGTGAAGTTAGAGAAAGATGTTGATAACTATATTGGTTATAGCCTACATTTTTGCATCAGATGCCAAACTCTAGGTCATACAGTATGTGCCGGGTGGAAATTGGTGATCTCTCACACAATAAACTGTATCGTTTTACAAGTAAATTTGATCTCAGTGAACATTTTGTTTGCATACGTCTCCTCATGAAATAGCAGGATGTAACAAATCAGTGATACTGATATTACTTTTCCTTGTTAACCTCGTCTACGACTCGTGTCCGTAACCTTGCACTGGTTTCAACTTCCTACCAAGAAATCATATTACAAGCAGATCTGGACATTTATAGTGAAAAAGAGCTCACTCATGACTTCTTGAGCTACAGAGTTAAAAAGAAAAAGAATAAATAAAATATCGCAAAAGCATCAGGTCACTGTGCCTCATTATTATATTCTGTACATCAACATTATTGCTAAAAATTTGGTTCTTCTGAATTTCCTCTATTCATACGAATAATTGCCTATTCGTTATCTTGCTAGTGAATTGTCATCATTAACCTACATAAGTGCAGGTGTAGAGTTTGTGTTCTGATATAAAAAGTCTGAGTAAACATACCTTTGTTTTATCCAAAAAAGTATCTGCTGAGGCATTGTTCGACTTTAAACAAGAATATTTTCTGTTCTGCTCCTCGCCCCGTCCTCTCTATTTCTCTTTTTCAGCACCTTATTTCAACCCTTCAATATTAGTCTGGATATTTGCCGAAGGCTTGGTTACTTTACCCAGGAGCCTTTAAATTTATTATCTGACGAATATCAGCCAAATCTTTGCACATTTACCTCGTCAATTGTTGTTACATACAGACCTGGCTCTACCTTTCATTGTTTCGTATTCATTACCTGCTCGTCGTAACGCACCTTTTGTAACTCGCGCCACTTATCAGCATGGTACATTGTAGATTTTGCGAGATGATCTTTAATTTTAAGTGCAACCTTAGCCATTTTAATCGGGGCAATGTATCATTTGAAATATTTAAGCAACTGTACATCGTTTCAAAAGGAATATGTCGCCGATTTTAACATTTTGATCTTGCCTATGAATTGACATAGCTCTTGTAACATGTTTTTCATTTGAGAATAAATTATTATTATTGTTATTATTCGTAGATATATGCCAAGCAAATGATTTTGCAATTCTTATAAAAGACTCAAATGCCAAGGTTGGAGATGCTGGCACTAGTAAATGGATTATTGTCATGATTAAGTGAGGTCATGGTGTAAACGATGCTGAATTTTGACGATCGACAGGCAGTGAGACGGATTGCTGTGATAAAGACATCTCACTTAGTGATTTACATACCTAAAGTTTCTAGATTATTTTAGGACTAGTTCACTTCTGTACCTTGAATACGGTAATATTCATTCAAATATTATCAATGAAATACTTGCTCTACACTCTCAAAAGCATGGATATCCAGAAGTGCTGGTTAACTACGAATTTAACACTAGTACTCGTTCAGATTCAGTAGCTACTTTAGGGATTTTGATCGTTTATGCAGATCCACTGATTCTTTGAATACTTTATTGAGGGTATTTCATGGATTACATTTACTACTTGTATGAGATTTCATCTAGTCTTCTTCGTCCAAGAAGCTAGTCTCTGTCTGTTTATTCATAGTGATAGATTGCGGAATGTTAAACGTGTGAAAAATGAGTAGGTGAGAAATATGTAGCAGATCTTTCTTGAGCCTTATGCGATTAAACATCTGAAGGTTTAACCCTAATCATAAAACATAAGCTGCCCAGATAATGAAATTATACATCTTCAACAGTGCTTCAATGTTTATTACTTCCAATATTCCTACTCACTCATGGATTGGTCGTGATAGGAATTATAAAAAACTGTTCGAAAACGGCAATCGAATAAACTTGAAATGGGATTTGGTATTTGGTACTGACTTGTTATTGTTTGACACGCCCCACCGAACAAACGTTATCAATCCTTCCAGCGAACGCTTTTAAAAATAATGCGAATCCCTACCAGAAAGCAAAATGCCACTGTTAACATGGATCAAGTGATCTTTTATTATTTTTACTTGGAGCTAATTACTAATATAAATTACGTGGTCGACTACTCTTTCGAAAATTGATTAAGTCGCAATGGTGATAACAGCGAATCATGGTAAAGACTTTAAAAAAAAATAACAAATTTGTATTGTCTACTCAATACAATGAAAAATTGGACCTTGGAACCGTTAGATTTTACTGAAGCGATTAAAGCCACTCATGAAATAGGCGGGTAATAATGACTGATTTAAGTCGATTGGTTAAGGAGATAGGTAAATGCTGAACTAACTGACATATATCTTATCTAGGGATCGAGGTTCAACAACTTTCAAGTCAGGTGGAGTTAGAAAGAAACAATATATCTCGTATGACTTATTTATTTGAATTTACATGCTTCTGCAGATCTCCAACAAAGGTTAATTTCTCTAACTCAAGAAGCTGAGTCTCAAAAAAAGGTTAAGCAGCAATTAGAGGAGGAGTTAAAGAATTTAGAAGAGACCTATTTTCAGCCAGATGTTAACAGTTTTGGGTATAAACATCAAACAGCACCTTAATTTATTATGTAATCTTAAGGCTTTCAGACGTCAGTGAAGTAATAAATGAACAAATCAAGTGCCTCGACGTAATCCTCTCGGAGATTATTAGCAGTAACGAGCGATTTAGGTATGCTCACTACCAATAAATTGATTTATCATCTATCACGTTTCCGAGGCATTCGTCCTCTCTTTAGCTTTGGAATTTTTACTATCCACATTACAACCAACTGATCTCCGGTCTAATAATTTAAAAAATGCTGGTGTTCAGAAGTATTTTCTTCCCCGAGGCAAACGCACTTATTTAGATCACGGTACAAAAAAATTCATAAATGACTGCTAAGTAACCAGAACTAGTAAGGTCTAGTCGCTGGCTTGCCATCCTTTTGAGATTATCTAATACCTGAAGTTGTGTCAAAACAATGAGCAAGCGCTAACCTATCGGTTTATACTACCTATTATAAAAAAAGTTGGATTACATCTAGTCCCATAACTTATTATAAATTATATCTCGTAAATCAACGAAGTGAAAGTCGTGAGACAGTTCACTTGTAAGGAAAAGTCGTGACAGCTAACATGGACCATAAAATACCACTTTTAAGTAAGTCGTTGTGGTTAGTACATGATTTAAATCGATTGAGATCGTGTTAGGTGTATGACTCATCAAATATACCAGTCAGTCCATCGTGTATTACTACAACAAATGAGATTTTTATGTTACCAGTCGGCATGACTCTCTTCTGGTTAACTGATCAAGTCATACCTCTAAGTATGCCTCACACATCTTGCTATATAGAATAAAGGGAATCTTGGTGAAAGATGCAAATAACTAAATTCGAATCTAGAGCTTGACTCAAGTATGTCATGTTCTGTAGTAGTAGAAAAGTATGATATTTAATACTGCACAATTTTAGTCTTGCTTTTGCTATTGCTTACTTGGAAATGAGACGAATCTTACGCTCTTTTAAAGTGCACCAAACTGTGCATATAAAAGCTCAGGGTAGCGAGGACTTCAGCTGTATCGTATTAATAGCTTCGGATGCTGGGTATAGTCTTACATAGCCTAGTCAACTACATGGTAAAAGATAAACAATTTCATGCTTATGCGGCTTTCTTACGTAATTCTTATCAGGTAAGTAGGTATTTTCTTCTGAAAACGTCCTGTTTTGTAGCAAATATTTTAATTACACTAAACAGTTAATTTCTGTACATTAGGAAGGAAAGAACTGACATGATTTTGGAATACAAACAGAAGCTAGATACTTACAACCAACATATTGTACGAAACGAAAAGCTACACGCCTTTATCGAGCTGTGGAAAGTTAAATGTACTGAGAACTTCAGGCTAACTGGTAAGTAGGCCCCTTATTTAACCCTTGAATTCCCAAAAGCGATCCCTGATGTGATAAGAGAAATGTAAGTTGTCAAGGTTCCTTTTTGCTACGTCTGCTAGAGCCAAAGAAATAGCCGACTCTCACGATACATCTCTTGTGGAGACCATGGAAAATGCGCTAAATGCACCAACAGTAAGTCCTAAATCATAATTTTACACAAACAGGTTGGAAGCGAAGTAATTAGAGTAGCATCTCCTACAGATGTGTGCGTCACGCAAAAAGGTGAAGTTCCGGCAATTATTCCGAACACTCATCAGTCAGGAACTACATGCGATGACCAGCTGGATTTCGCTGACGAGCAAAATACTCAGTTTCAGGAAAGTAATGTCTTGGACGCCAGTCGCTTACGCATGTCCGCCCTTGATACTAGCGTGATTTCATCGCTTGTGAGAAAAGAAAGTAAGTACCGTCATCCACGTACAGCGTTTGCTAGAGGCATTCTTCAAACCTTATAATTAGCTCACTAGCTATTATCGAATTCACAAATATCCACTTTTACTTACTTACTTTCGCCTGTTACCCCAAATGGAGCATAGGCCGCCCACCAGTTTTCTCCAACCAACTCTGTCCTGGGCTTCTTTCTCCAGTTCTGTCCAATGTTTGTTCATTCCTCCCATATCTTTCTCTATTTCTCGGCGTAATGTATTCTTTGGTCTTCCTCTTTTCCTTTTGCCTTCAGGGTTCCATGTGAGGGCTTGTCTCGTGACGCAGTTAGGTGCTTTCCGCAATGTGTGTCCTATCCACTTCCACCGCTTCTTCCTGATTTCCTCCTCCACTGGAATCTGGTTTGTTCTCTCCCACAGTTCGTTGTTGCTGATGGTGTCTGGCCAACGAATACGAAGTATTTTACGTAGACAGCTGTTAATAAACACTTGTATCCTCTGGATGATGGCTTTGGTAGTTCTCCATGTTTCCGCTCCATACATTAGAACTGTCTTGACATTTGTATTGAAGATCCTTATTTTGGTGTTGATTGATATCTGTTTGGAGTTCCAGATATTTTTCAACTGTAGAAATGCAGCCCTTGCTTTGCCAATCCGTGCCCTCACATCTGCATCGGATCCACCTTGATTGTCAATGATGCTGCCCAGATATGTAAAGGTGTTAATGTCCTCCAAGGCATCTCCATCAAGAGTGATTTGATTGGTGCATGTTGTGTTGCATCGGAGAATTTTGCTTTTTCCTTTATGTATGTTGAGACCTACTGCTGCAGAGGCTGCTGCTACACTGGTTGTCTTTTCTTGCATTTGTTGTTGAGTGTGCGATAGAAGAGCCAAGTCATCTGCGAAGTCCAGATCGTCCAGCTGCGTCCTAACTGTCCAGTTGATACTGTGCTTCCCTCCAGATGTTGACGTTTTCATAATCCAGTCGATGACCAGGAGAAAGAGAAAGGGTGAGAGTAAGCAACCTTGCCTGACACCGGTCTTTACCTCGAAAGAGTCGGTTAGCTGTCCTCCGTGCACGATTTTGCAGTTGAATCCATCATAAGAGTTCCGTATGATGTTAACTATTTTCTCAGGCACCCCGTAGTGTCGAAGAAGAGTCCACAGTGTTTTCCTGTCCACGCTATCAAACGCTTTCTCGTAGTCGATGAAGTTGATGTAGAGTGGTGAGTTCCATTCAATTGATTGTTCCACAATGATCCGTAGTGTAGCAATTTGGTCAGTACATGATCGATCCTTACGAAATCCGGCCTGTTGATCTCGAAGTTGGGCGTCTACGAAGTCCTTCATTCTGTTTAACAATACCCTGTTGAAGACTTTGCCTGGTATTGAAAGAAGAGTGATGCCTCTGTAGTTCTCACACTTGCTCAGATCGCCTTTCTTTGGTATTTTGATGAGGTATCCTTCTTTCCAATCTGATGGTACTTGTTCCTCATCCCAAATCTTCTTGAAGAGGATGTGAAATATTTTCGCGGTTGCTTCTACATCTGCTTTCATTGCCTCTGCTGGAATGTTGTCTGGTCCTGCTGCTTTGCCGTTCTTGATTTGTCTGATGGCCATACTGATCTCCTCAATCGTAGGTGCGTCAATATTAATTGGAAGGTCCGTGGATGCTGCTTCGATGTTGGGTGGGTTCAGTGGAGCTGGTCGATTCAGGAGTTCCTTAAAGTGCTCTACCCACCTATTTCGCTGTTCTTCAGTGTTGCTGATTATTTTCCCTTCCTTGCTTTTCACTGGTCGTTCTGGTTTACGATAGTTCCCGGCGAGCTTCTTCGTTGTTTCGTACAATTGTCTCATGTTTCCTTCTCTTGCAGCCTTTTCCGCCGTCATTGCTAGATCTTCCACATATTTTCGTTTGTCAGCTCTGATGCTCTTCTTCACTTCCCTGTTTGCTTCTGTGTATGCAGCTTGTGCGGTAACTTTCTCCGCTCTTGTTCGGCTGACATTCACTGCTGCCTTCTTGTTCCTCCTTTCTTCAATTTTTGCGAGAGTATCAACAGAGATCCATTCCTTGTGATGCTGCTTCTTGCGACCAAGGACCTCCTGACATGTTGAAGTGATTGCCTCCTTAATTCCTTTCCAATTGTTCTCCAATGTTGTGTCCTCTCCATTGTGTAGATCCTGAAAGGCCTGGAACCTATTGGTGAGGGCTATCTTGAATTCGTTGAGCTTTACGGTATCCCGAAGAAAGGCCGTATTAAATTTGTGCGATGTTGTCTGTCCCGTTGTCCAGTGCTTCTTTAGTTTCAGTTTCATTTTGGCGATTAGCAAATGGTGATCTGAGGCTACATCAGCTCCTCTCCTGGTTCTCACATCCTCCATAGTCCTTCTGAACGTTTTGTTGATACAGATATGATCAATCTGGTTTTGAGTAGTGTGATCCGGTGAAATCCATGTAGCTTTGTGTATGCGTTTGTGCGGGAATATTGTGCCACCGATGACCAGTTTGTTGAAGGCACATAGGTTTGCAAATCTCTCACCGTTTTCGTTCCTTTCTCCCAGTCCATGTCGTCCCATGATGTCTTCATATCCAGTGTTGTCCATGCCAACCTTGGCATTCAGGTCTCCCATAAGAATCGTCAAATCCTTTGGTGAACATTTCTCGACGATTGACTGCAGCCTTTCGTAGAATTGATCTTCAACGTCGTCATTGTAGTCATTGGTAGGTGCATAACATTGGATGACGTTCATTGTAATGTCCTCTTTCTTTGTTTTGAAGGATGCTTTAATGATCCTCGGTCCATGAGATTCCCATCCTATTAGTGCCTTTTGTGCATGTTTGGACAGCATCAATGCAACTCCTTGTGTATGTGAAGCATTTTCCTCTTCATGACCAGAGTATAACAGCAGTTCCCCTGAAGCTAGTCTCAGTTGTCCTACTTGTGTCCAATGTGTTTCACTGATTCCAAGCACCTCGAGATTGCATCTTTTCATTTCTGCCGCAACTTGAAATAGTCTTCCAGTCTCCCACAATGTACGAACGTTCCATGTACCTAAAAAAATGGTTGCTCTGGTTGTGAGAAGAGGCATCGGCCCCGTGACTTCCGAGGGAACTCGGCTTTCATCACGCGACGTCATAATTCTTCCTCCAACTCCCAGGGCAGAGTTAAAATGGTTTGAATTATTTTTTCTGGTTAGCGTTTTTTTGGCAAGTTAGTTTTTGACGGAATGGGGTCGCCAACCCCATGTCCAACCCTCCTCCTTTACCCGGGCTTGGGACCGGCAGTAGCCCCGAAGGTTCTACTGGCGGAGTTCACAAATATCCAGATCACTCAGTAATTGTAGGTATAACGGCTTCGGAGGTTCAAACTGACAATGCTACTAGTTGTCAGTACGTAGATCTCCAGCTACTATGCAAGCCCTGTTTTTCCGAGCGGTGCAAGGTTATCTAAATGACACTAAACTAGCAGCTGCTGCTCTGCATCAGGTGATGAATTCATAAGATTCGAATTCGAGATAACGCAAGGAGTGGATGCACCTGTGCCATTACAAACGATTTTGAGCCATGTCGTTTATGGTCTCTAACCATCGTCTCGCAGACCTCAACCAAGTAGCCTACATCTAACAACACGACTCACTGCACTTGTCAGTGACTACATGGATTTGCGCTGCTCTGCTTACTGTGAGCTTTTTGTTGTAAACGTTTTATCTGACCCTTCCCTAGTTACTAAGGTTACAAATAACTGCATTTTTTATTCTTAAAAATCGCGCCTTTGAATGTAACACACGTCAAGCCAGGCAAAACACTCGTAGGTCATTCACACAAGGATTCGGCTTCTTAGTTAAAATCGCGTCACAAGCCTTCAAAGTGCGAGCCTTGTCTTAGACCGGTGTGCTGTTTACCAAGGATTTGCCATTTCATGACTCACTTGTGCCTCAATTTGTTGAAACCATTTTTAAACTGACAACAGCAGTAGATGTATAAAACTTGCTGAAAATAATGTATAAGGGTATGCTTCCGAAACCATAAATATGTACTCAGCTGAGATTCTGAGCTAACTTACGTCCTAGAAACTAAATGTCCTAATTTGATATGTACCTACTAAAAATCTCCTCCCAATTAGTCCGATTTACTTATTTCAATATCACTTTCTGTTTATTCCTACCTTCACTTGTCCGTACTATTCTTTTGCTATTTAGGTTGCAGTTTCCCACATAAAAATTTTGAACGCATTGATGACACTCAACGAGATTACACAATGAATATGGATGTGACAATTTGTGGAGAAAATGATGCATCTTCTTACTGAACTTACCGTCAATGTTTCTTAAAATAAAGTTACGGTTGGTTCTTGTTGAACATACACAATAAAGTTAATTAGTTTCGAATGCTATTTCGCATATTAACGACAACTACTTAAGTTTAATAGCCTTTAGTGCACTGCGACCTAGACATCTGGACGTTTATGGCACAGCATTTCCTTCTAGAAAATATACATCTCTAGTATTATGATAAACCGGCTGCATCTCACCATTACCTCATCAAATTCACGGATTCATTGTTAGTGAGAATTATCTTAGACATACCTTTGTACTAAGTTAGTGTACTGCAGTATACTAGTTGATTATACGAGAAATGTGATTATGAAGATTATAATTGTAAATGTTAGTAACTCACAAAACCATCTTATCTTAAGGTTGTATGGTAGATGCCTTTTAGTATATAAACGCTTGATGTAACTGGCTTTTAGTTGCACTGGTCTTTGTGGGTAATAAATCATTCATGTCACATTATTCCAGACTTAAGTGACTTCATTTTAGAATTAAAGATGTAGGTGGTAATCGATTTAAGCAAAGTAATTCTACATGACAATTTTATGTAGTAGCTTTTCAGCAGCTTCCTACATAAAATGATCTGCCTTTCAGTGGCAAAAGTATTAAGGCGAAGTTGGCTACCCTGTTGAGTAACCACGATTCTACATCGTTAGGTTACACGATAAGACAGATGGTGTGTAACCTTGCAGATAGCTCTTATCTGGACTCATATCCCAGCCTTTCACTCCGGGACAGTAGATTACGAGTTTAGGGGCACTCATATTAACCAAGTCGATTTACGTTTTGGGATCTTTAGTCAGATGAAACATGCACGTGTATTAAAAGACAAATGGAGCGGAATACCACGCCTTGTTCTAATTTTGTTGGGTTGGTTGTATTCTCATAAACTAAGTAATTGGTTCATAGTGCGCATTGAGACCGAACGTTGTGGACAATTTCACTGCCCTTTTTAATGTATTCGTCGAATTAGTACATAGGGACGTCTAAACGCTGTGAAATCGAGATAACAAATGACCGATGGTACTTTATGGAACACCTACCTTAATACTAGCCTGGCTCAAGAATGTGGCAATCGGTGATCTACTTAATGCCTATCCGACTCCTATTAAGACGGACGTATACATGTATCTCCTGTAGTGAAGTTTCGACTCTAAGCTGGGTGCTGTATCACTTATTCTGATAAACATGCTGCCTCGTACTGCTGACTATAGAGGGGTTAAAAAAGGTCGACCCTAAAAGTGCCACCTCCTGAGTTCCCGTCTCCGGCGGTAAGGCCTTTTAAAAAGAGCGGAGCTAACACTTTAAAAACTTCTCATAAAAAGGCCGTGTGTGATCGGCCCCAAGCAGTCGCCCTTAGGCTCTGCGGCCATGCTACGAATCCCATCCGGAGGCAGGTTGGAATGATATCAAAAAGGCTGTGGAAACAGCAGTGATATCTGCTAGTAAGGTTAAAATAAAGCCGTGGATCTCTGTAGCATCCACCGATCTGATGAATGCCTAAAGACTCATCCCACCAGGCTCTGGACATGATGAAGAACGAAGTCAGCTTATGCGCAGACTTATAAAAAGCCTGCGCAACGATCGTGAACAGTGGTGGGTGGCGAAAGCAAAGGCGATGGACAAGGCAGCGGCGATAGGCAACAGTAGGCAACTATTCAGACTCATCAAGGAAACTCTTATTAGGAACCCAAATGTGAGAATATTTCGGAAAAGGATGGTCTTATTATCCATTCTCATTCCAGGAGACTGAACCGATGGGCAGAACACTTTAGGGATCAGTTCAACTGGCCTCGAGCCACTCTTCGGTTACCCACGATCTCCAGTCATCCTGAATGGCAAATCGACGTAAGGACACCTTGGCTTTACGAAGCTGAGAAAGCGTTAGGAAATCTGAAGCGAGGACGAGCTGCAGGTCCTGATAGACTGACCCCTGAGATATTTAAGGATGGTGGTCCAGTTTTATCTGCTAGGTTGACTGAGATCGTAGGTAGAATCTGGGAACTGGACGCAATCCCATCCGACTGGTCTCAATCACTGATTGTCCCAATTTATAAGAAAGGACAAAAGTCTTCTTGTGACAAGCACAGGGGAATAAGTCTAACTAATACAATATCTAAAATACTGGCCTCAATAATACTTCGACGCTTAAAGAAAGCTCGTGAAGAGCAAACTCGAGGAAACCAGGCTGGTTTCCCACCTGGATGTGGTTGTACAGACCACATCTTCACACTACGACAGGTCCTGGAACACAGACACACATTTAGGCGTCCGACAATAGTTGTTTTCCTGGACCTTAAGACGGCATTCGACTCTGTGGACCGTGAGGTTCTGTGGCAGTGTCTGTCATTGAAAGGTGTATCAAAGAAGTACATTAACCTTATACAAGCTCTCTACTCGAACACCACTGGTCGAGTGAGAGCTTATGGCGAACTGTCACCGGAATTCTTCACTTCGAATGGTGTCTGTCAGGGATGTCCATTTTCGTTTAATTTTATCATAGACATGCTCCTAGAAATAACCTTATCCTCGTCTGAATGTTCTGGAGTAGACCTTCTACCAGGTGGCTCGCTTATGGACTTAGAATATGCCGATGACATAGTCCTACTTGGTGAAGACGCTGACAAAGTGCAGAGTCTTCTGACCACCCTAAGCAACAATGCAAGCATGTTCGGGATGCGGTTTTCCCACTCGAAATGCAAAATGTTGCTTCAAGATTGGGTTGCATCGGCACCCGAACTAGTGATAGGGAGTGAAGTAGTCGAACGTGTAGACCGCTTCACTTATCTTGGGAGTCTCATCAGTGCCGATGGCCTGGTGACTGACGAAATCTCAGCTCGGATACAGAAGGCTCGATTAGCTTTTGCCAACCTGCGTCACCTATGGCGCAGGTGAGATATCCGTTTGCTAATCAAAGGATGAGTGTACTGTGCAGCAGTTCGCTCCGTGCTACTGTACGGATGCGAGACTTGGCCGTTAAGAGTAGAGGACTTTCGTAGGTTACTAGTCTTTGGTCATCGATGTCTCCGAAGCATTGCTCGTATACCGTGGGACAACGGTATAAGCAATGCTGTCGTTAAGAAACGAGTTCTAGGTAGGGATGGCGAATCAATAGATGAAGTAGTGAAACTTCAGTTGAAGTAGTTGGGACATGTGTTTCGTATGCCTAACCACCGACTGCCGCAACGAGCTATGTTTTGCAGTGTGGGAGTAGATCGGAAGAAAGCTAGGGGCGGCCAAACCAAGACATGGCAGTAATCCATGAAGTCACTGACAAGTGGACTGAGTCATGTCGGTAGATATAGGCTACCTGGTTGGGGTCCGCAAGACGAAAGTCGCCGATGGTTAGAGACCTTGAACGACATGGCTCTGAATCGTTTGCAATGGCGCAGGTGTGTCCACTCTTTGTGCCCTATGAAATTCTAAGCTTCTGAATTCCTCATAATCCCTACCTTTCTCCTTCTAAATTTATCTTACTGAATTATACTTCTCGAATCATATCTTCGCTCCCTAATCTTCTCCATTACTGCTATTACTTCTATTATTGCTATCACTCTTGGATTTGAACTGACAGTTGCGTCTCTGTGCTGAAGGGGCACGGCAACCTGAACTGCTGTACTTACGTACGAAGTTCTGCGTTGTATCTGTCTGTCTGCAGGTAGACAAGAAGTCTATGCAATGATCGCGAACAGTGATGAGTAGCGAAAGCAAGAGTAATGGAAAAGACAGCAGCGATAGGTAACAGTAGACAAATGTGCGGCATAATCAAGGAAACCGGTATTAGGAATTCGACTGTTGTGATAGCTTTACTATTGATCCTCAGTCCAGAAGATTGGATCAATGGGCAGAGCACTTTAGGAAGCATTTCAGCTGGCCTTCAGACACTTCGGTTGCTCACAATTTCCAATCAATACGACCGGCGAATTGATTTAATTCCTTCAACTCGTGAAGCTGAAAAGGCTATAGGGAATCTAAAGCGATGGAGAGCGGCAGGCCCTGATAGATTGACCCGTGAGACTCCTAAGGATGGTTTTAGCAGCTAGATTGACCGAGATCTTACGTAAAATCTGGGAACTGGACGTAATACCATCTGACTGGTCGCAATCACTGACTGTCCCTGTCTACAAGAAAGGACAAAAGTCCTCTTGTGACAGTCAGTCTAAGCAATATGGTGTCTAAAACGTTAGCCTCGTTAATACTTTGACACCTAACTAGAGCTCATGAAGAGCGGATCAGAGAAAACCAGGCTGGTTACAGACCTGGGTGTGGCTGTATAGATCATACACACTATGTCAGGTGCTAGAACATAGGCACAAGTTCAGACGTCCCACAATAGTTGCATTTCTCGGCCTTATGGCATCATTTAACGCGGTTTATATTGAGGTTCTATGGCAGTACCTGCCACCGAAAAGTGTACCAATGAAGTACATTAACCTTATACAAGCTCTCTACTCGAACACCACTGGTCGAGTGAAAGCATATTTCGAACTGTCATCGGAACTGATTACTGCAAGCGGTGCCAACGTGTGTCGCTTATGGCGTAGGCGAGATATAACCAAAGGACGTGTGTAATGCGCGGTAGTTTGCTGTGACATAATTTATGGTTGTGACACCGGGCCACTGAGAGTAGAGGATATTCGTAAGTTACAAGTTGCCGATAATCTGTCACCGAAGCACTGCTCGTACATCCTGGGACTATCATTAAGCAATGCTGTTGTCAGGAAACGGGTACTAGGTAAGGGTCGGTAAGAGTAGAAGATATTCGTAGTGCGATTACTAGGTACGGATGGCAGATCAATAGATGAAGTAACAAAACTTCGTCAATTGGAAGGTTGGGCATTCGTAACACATGTCCCAACCACCGACTGCCTCAATGAGCCATGCTTTGTGTAGAGGTAGGTTGAAAGAAAACTGGGGGCGGCCACATCAGATAATGGCAGAAATCCATGAAGTCACTGACAAGTGGACTGAGCCACGTTAGTATGTGTAAATATCCTGGTTGGAGTCTGCGAGACTATGGTTGGATACCTTGAATGACATGGCTCAAAATCGTTAGCAGTGGCGCAGGTGCATTCATTCTTTGTCTTCGCTTAAATTCCAATCCTCTGAATCCCTAATCACTTCTATCTTTCTCTTTTCAGATTTCTTTCACTGGATTATACTTCTTGCTTAATAAATCCGAACCCTAATCTGTCCCACTACCACTATTACTGTAGAGGAATGGAAAATCCCGTCGCTGTATGCTAATGCGGTATGGCAACTTGACTAATGTGCGTACGTACGAAATTCTACGTTGTAACTGACTGATTCAACCAAAAAACTTGAGACTAAATTGTTTAGTAGTTCACACATTTTCACTTGTATTAAAATTAACTTTCGACGAGACGAAGAAGGCGTCTCTCTCTAAGTTGTCTTGCATTCTTTATAACATCTAGGATTTCTGATGTTTTAGGATACATACATGTGCCAGTTTGACAGCTATACACTTTGATCCTTGACCAACATTTTAATAAGTGGAATTCCGGAAGATTTCACCAATGTAAACTCATAGGAAACACAAATAAGTTGAGTAAATTACAGTTTATTTTATGTTCAATCCTACTGATATACATAAAGATTTACATGACGATTCTTCTTACAATCTACGCGGTTTTCTAGGCCTTCTCCCATGACCATAATGAACATTTGTATCATCCGTCAAAGAGATCATCTTTATTCCAGAGATGTTCAGACCTGAAAGTGCAGACTGCTACGTTAACCAAAGAGCAAAGAAACACTTACCAACCTACATGACCCTAACCCATTAAATACAACACGGACAGCCTCGATCCCAAGCTTTTTTGCCTTGAGTCCTATAGAGATACCAACAGTTTGAACAGCAACAGTAGACATTTTACGAGCGTTTCGGAAACCTTCGGCACCACAACTAGTGCCATTTAAAACTCGGCCGTTACAATCAGTTAGTGTTGCAATCAAGTTATTTTTTCGCGAAAGCAAATGAATGATAGGGAGTTCGTAGAACTGCTTGTTTCCCACCATTGAGGTTAAACAGTCCTCTGTAACTACATGATGACCCAGACTTCATTTAGTCAGGAGGAAATATAAGAATTACATATTTATTGCCGCAGTTTTTTCAGCAACGACGTTTAAAGATCTGGGTCCCTTTAGGTCTGGGACATTCGTACTATTGAAAAACACCTGATTGTATGCACGGCGAAGTAAATTATGGAACAAATCTGCGAATAGAGATAATCGAAACTTACTCGTAGTTTGTTTCGCACATATCATAACCTGAAAACAAGGAACAATGTTTTAATCTGCGAAAGAAATCTATTTATACAGGTGCTCAGATTACGGAATCTTCTGGTAAGAGACTTGTTGTCTCTAAATCAGATTTCGCTTCGAAAACATCACGGCACTCATACATTCATATACGTTACTAATATCATCACTCGTTACCTACTCTAAGGAACTGATACCAGTTGTTGAATTACTGATTCTTTGGTTACTAGAATCACTAATAAAATGCAATTACAATCAAACGAAATTCCAGCTCGAACTAGATTTTAATTACTACCTAAAATCTGATTAAATACTTATGGAATCCCACCACTTTACACCAATCGTTATACTGGGGGTGGTACTAAATTTTCATGATTTAAAAAGCTAATGGTGGTGACCTATTACGAAATCAAATAAATTGCAAACCCAGGTATAATCATTCATCGAAAGTCAGTCATATTCAGCGAAGTGCATGATATAGCTTTAGTCGGTCAACTTCATCAGCGTATTGAGATCGAATCGTCAAGGCAGTATAAAGGATAAGGAGTCGAAGATGCAGAAGAAAACAGATTGGTGGAATAACGGTTTAAAGGAAGACAGAGTGCACCCACTCTGTCGTGTGGTTGCCGAAGATATCTCTCAAAGCCTACAGCAGTTAGTTACGATAATCACAAAGATCAAAGGTTGGAACTCCCAATCTGTACACTTCGCTAAGTCGAAGCGTCGGTTTTCATGGACTGACGTAATGTCTTGGTTTGGTAATACCTATCATCTCAAATGGGATATTATGAAGCCTATCTTTAGAAGGAAAGAAAGAGTAGCGTTAGCTGAAAGAAATGAATAGAGAATGATGAAAATTTCTTTAGGACTTATTGTTGTGTTATAAATGTTTAACAAATAACACGTTAGAACACAATTACAGGACATTGTATCTAATTTTTTTAGTCCAAAATTGTTTTCGCATTATGATTACTTACTGTTTCAAAGAGCCTCGCAAGACAAAACCCTACAAAGTAAGGTAACGTCCACAAGCGCAGACCGCCTCAGTCCGGAACTTTCAAGTCACGCGCGAATTAACCTTGGTTTAGTTAACAGGAGAAAAGGAATTTGGGTCTGTTGACCTGCGTGAATCTTTTTGATTATTTTATGGTCGAGATACAGCTTTTCCTTTAAATCACACACAGAGTTGGCAGCACTTGTTCGAGATTAGCATTCCAGTCACTGACTACTCGATGTGAAAAACGAAATGCAGTATCCGTTTCACGTTTACTCTTCAACCTTATCAACCATTTATTTGCTCGTCTCTTCACTCAATACATGAGCTTTATGGCTCTTTTAAGGATAGCAGAAGTTATGGCGTTGTAAACTTCGATGTGTGGGCGTGCGTATGTCCTCGACAATGTTAGAATAAGTCTGGGATGATAGAACAAGTTTGTCTTTGCTTAAAGTTGCGTTAGACTTGGTTACATCCCTTAAACATTTCATGCTGGTGCATAGGTTTTCGGCGGTTATTCAACCGAGATTTTGCTCTGAGGAGACATTAGGGAGCTACATCCATTCCCGGTGTAAGTCGTTTGTGTCACTTTGGTCAGAAATTGTGAATTGTTTAGTTTGTACACCATTCGTCACTGTTCATTTCTCAACTGATGTTAGATCCTTTTAAAACTCAGTTGAATGCTCTTCGCTTCTTATTGGTCTCCCGATCTTTGCATCGTTTGCACAGATTAGTGACGATGAGCTAATTTTATCTAATTTCATGCGCTGTGTAACAGCAGTTAATCAACTGAAGAAAACTCGTAACGCTACAACGAATAATAAACACATCGATCGAGAATGAGAAATGAATACATGTTTGACGTCTCACTCAGTAGATCTTGATGAGTTTATGGGCTGTAAATCTTCAAGAAAAATACGAATCCCGATTTTCATCTAAAAATCTAAGGACACTTGCATTTCTCATTCAGGCTGTTCAGGCGTTAAATTGCCTGAATATGTTCCACAAAACAATAGAAATTCAGTTAAAGTTATTCAATTTAAGACTAGTCTCCCAAATACATTACCTGAGAGGACCCGAATAAATTCAAATTTATCTCAAGAAACACGTCCAAAGAACCAAAACACTCTCGAACGCTAACAAGGAAGACTGAACTGACTAACTATTAATTCTGAAATAACAATCAGGTAGGATTTAACAGGGTTCGCCGACGATTCTGCTACCTACCATGAACAGGCTCATATCTCAGATATCACGTGATGTAACCCTAGCCTCTATAGGTTTTAGGACTGATAATACTAACAAGTTCGATAAAAATCTAAACATGTAATTATTAGTGCACTGGACATTAAGCCTATTCAAGATTTTTTCGGGATAAAGACCCTTAGGGTACCTATGGCAGGATATAGCTCAGGTTATTACTAAACCATAAACATTCCCTAAGTAGTATCTACTGTGATGGAGAATGTAGTAAAGGTCGAAATAATAAAACGCCTACTTAATAACAACCTGATATCGACCTCACAGCACGCGTTCTTGGAGTCCAGGTGATGCAATACATAACTGCTAGATTATCTCATCGATATAACTCAAAAACAGGATCAAGGGTTTCTAGTATCAGTGTAGAATCTATTTTGAAGTCTTTGTTTTTCGAAAATCCCTCCATGTATATATATGTGTTATGATCTGACTGACTCTTTCTGTTCGATATTTTGGTACTCTATTTGATTCCATTTTGGGATTTCATCATTTGAATCTTGTTATTATTTCTATATCTTGTACTTCTATTGAAGTTTCTATGTATCCTTCCGAACTGTATATGTGTTGTTTAAAATTGATACTTAATATGGCTACAGCTATTTTTGGATTTGACGCTCTAGCAGCAGCTCGTTGCAACTAACTGGAAGCACTTATTCTTTCAGTATTGGAACTTATTGTTGTGATTAAAGACTCGAAGGTGTAATATTGTTTTGGTAATTGTCTGTATTTCCTTTTTTGATTGAAAATAGAAACCTTCTTTCCCAGATTTGTCATTTTTAGACTTGGACTGGGCGAGACGCGTGTGAACCTACACCTTTTGGATCCAGAGCTCACTGCGAGAGTAATAAATATTTCTATAAACAGGACCAAGGATTTCTAGTATCAGCACTACTTTTCGACTTTAAGAAAGTCTTTGACAAGGTCCCACAATAAAGTGAAGTCACTCGGAATCAGTAACTCATTACCTACGTGGTTGTTTCACTCTAAATGGACACCAACAAATTGTTAAATACAACGACCGCCTTTCATTACTGAGACCAATAACCAGTTGAGATATCCAGGGAAGTGTATTAGGTTTTCTGTTGTTTCTTAAATACATAACGGATGCATGTAAAACTACGAAATTTGGACGATCATACCCACATGCGGATGATCTCAAAATAGTATAGAGCTACGAGCCTGAGCATCTGGATGAAAATAAATCCACGAGACAAAGTGAGCTTGATAACTTATTTACCTGGAGCGAAACATGGCGGCTGCCGTTTAAGAACAAATCTGGCATCATGCATTTTAGAAGGCACATCATAGACAAGATATGAGTAGGAACTGTCCAGAGAAGCTTCGTACGACGACTGCTTGGATGGAGCCATAACATTGACTACACAGAAAGATGCAAGCATCTTTCCCTAGAACCTCCATGGCGCCATTGGTATGACAACAACCTTATACTCCTATATAAAATAATCGAAAGCCTCTTGTTAGTAAAATACCGGCAAATTACAGACTAAGGAACAACACTTATACACTTCTGATGGCAAAACACAAGAAATCAATAATAATAATGATTTTTTCTCAACTAGCAACCTGTTACAAGAGGAATGCCAGTTTACAGGCAAGATAAAATGTTAAGATTGGCAACATATTTTCCCTAAAAGGTTGTTCAGTTACTGAAACGTTTTATGAGACACGTTGGCTTAATATCGATGGATGAAACTTTTCACACAAAATTACTTTTCGGACGCCTCAATGTTCAATGAGATAGCTGGAGCGATTTTCGGCGGTTAAGTTACGATGAGCAGCTAGTAAATGCAAAAAAAATGCAAGGCAAAGCCAGGTCTGTATGTAACAACAATTGACGAGGTAAATGTGCAAAGATTTGGCTGATATTCGTCAGATAATAAATTTAAAGGCTCCTGGGTAAAGTAACCAAGCCTTCGGCAAATATCCAGACTAATATTGAAGGGTTGAAATAAGGTGCTGAAAAAGAGAAATAGAGAGGACGGGGCGAGGAGCAGAACAGAAAATATTCTTGTTTAAAGTCGAACAATGCCTCAGCAGATACTTTTTTGGATAAAACAAAGGTATGTTTACTCAGACTTTTTATATCAGAACACAAACTCTACACCTGCACTTATGTAGGTTAATGATGACAATTCACTAGCAAGATAACGAATAGGCAATTATTCGTATGAATAGAGGAAATTCAGAAGAACCAAATTTTTAGCAATAATGTTGATGTACAGAATATAATAATGAGGCACAGTGACCTGATGCTTTTGCGATATTTTATTTATTCCATTTCTTTTTAACTCTGTAGCTCAAGAAGTCATGAGTGAGCTCTTTTTTAGTATAAATGTCCAGATCTGCTTGTAATATGATTTCTTGGTAGGAAGTTAAAACCAGTGCAAGGTTACGGACACGAGTCGTAGACGAGGTTAACAAGGAAAAGTAACATCAATTTCACTGATTTGTTGCATCCTGCTATTTCATGAGGAGACGTATGCAAACAAAATGCTCACTGAGATATAATTTATTTGTAAGACGACACAGTTTATTGTGTGAGAGATCACCAATTACCATCCGTATCTGTGACGAAATCACCAAATTGAAGAGACCAGTAATTCTGTGGCTAGACTCTAAAGAGGTTTATCAACGTTTTTCGGAAATGACACCCAGTTCCCAGGCCTTAATTTATAGTTCACCAAGTATTTGGACTAACCTTGGTGACTAATAACACAACATGAGTATATTGTACCCGGATTAACATCCCTCCCCTCCTCCTACTAACAGTAATTGGTTACACCTTTGAGATGCTATCTGCGACATTCGGAGTTTTCTTCAAATTTTAGTTCGAATCATTGTTTTCTTAGCTCTCACAGCAGTTTTAGTTTTTAGTTATAATATACAGATAAACTGAAAAATCTGAAGATGCTGCTCAACTAATTTCAGTTACAAGGAAATCAAAGTTCCCGTATCATTGTGAGTTCCTTCTTGTTCATGCATTAACGGTTTGACGAACTTGCATTTGTGGTGGTGATTCGTTCTCTGTGCTAGATATTTTGGTTGTGAAGCTTTCATTGTTCTTCTGAACAACATCAGAGGCACAAACTTCCGATGTAAGCGAAGTATTTTTCATTTCCACAATTCTCTACCATCCAAACACATTTTCTGTTTATCTCCTCTTTCCTTTCTCTAAATCTGTCTTTTTCAGCACCTCATGCTACTCTTTAAATTTTACCTTGCAGAATCAACAAAGGCTTGGCTACTTTATCAAGGAGCACGGAAACTTATTATCTAACGAACCTTAACAAGAAGATCTTTGCATTAATTTTCATTAATTCTTATTACAATCAAACCTAGATTTATCGTGTATCGGTTCTCAACCAGCAGTGGTTCGTCGCAACGCAATCACCGTAACTCACTCCAAATCTCGTGTTGTGCATTTCAGAGTCTGAAACATTATATATATAAATCTGTGTGAAAAAGTTTAGCCATCTGTAAGTAGAATCTGCATCTTTTGTAATATTTACGTAAGTGAAAATACTTATACGGAAAATGTGTTAGCAATTTTAAAACTTAGATGTTGCCTGAAAAGAACTGAAGAAACGAGGAACAAGAAGGTAGCAGTCAGCATCACCCGAACAAGAGCAGAGAAAGTTAAGGCACAAGCTGAATACACAGAAACAAAGAAGCAAGGGAAGACGAGCACCAAAGCCCACAAACGTGGATATGTCAAAGATATAGCAATGAAGGCGGAAAAGGCCGCAACAGAGGGAAACTTGAGACAGTGGTACGATACTATTGTGTTTGTGCAATCTATACAAT